ATTTCTCTTACCTTCTCCAATCAGTCTGTCCCGAAATATTTATTGAGCTCTGTTCAAAGTACTGAGGGGAAATGTTTGAAAAGGAAATGCCCTTTCTTCAGGCTGGAAAAGTTTAAGGTATGGTTTGAGAGAGAACACATGCCAAGCAGTTACATGTTGACCTGTGCAAGTGCAATGTGAGGTCCCAGAAGGAGAAATTTGAAGGGAGTAAGAGGTCTCAGAAGGGACTAATTTTACTTGTGGCTGGCTGAAGGTGTGGTAGGGTGTGGTCCATCCATAAAGGACATCCACAGGAAGCAAGCCTTAGATCTGGTATAAAAGGGAAGTCCACGGGTCCAGTGTATCTAAAAGAGCTTTCAACCTCAGACTCTGGTGGCATTTCCAACAAACAGGTTTGATAGTTAATTATAAATGTTTGAGTTGATGGATACGCTAAATACCACAATTTGATCATTATGAAATGTATACAAGTATTGAAATATCACACTGTACCACATAAATATGTACAATTATTGTGGGTCAGTTAAACAACTAAATAAAAAACTATCTCAAGCTTTAAGCCCACTGTCCTTTTCTGAGATGTATGAGATGCCATGAGGGGGACAGGACTCTCTCTCCTCTTGAAAGCCAATCCTTGTTTGCAGGCAAAAGCCCCCTGTGGCCACCTCCTCAAAGGTATAGGATCCAGATCTATCCAAAGAAATGGAAACAATATTCATGTCACTAGCAGAGGACTGAAAACCGTGAACAGTTAGTTATGCGAGCTTGCTAATGCGGAGCAGTGAGGCAAGCGGCAGCTGGTCTCTGGCTGTCCTTATTTTAAAGGAGACTAAAATTAAATCTAACCTAGACATGGCAGTCACCTAAAGTGAGTTGGCTATTATTCCTATTTTACAATGACGAAATGGAGGCTTGGAAAGAGTTAAATACTCCCTGCAGGTCTCGCAGTATTAAGTGTTAGGGCTGAGATTTGAATCCAGGTAGAGTCATCTCAGGGCCTGTTTTATGAATTACACGTTTGCCTGCTTCATGTTCTCTCTTCTTACTTGAGTTAACAGCAGCTAAACAATACAGAATTAGTAAATTGCTGGTACCATGTATTGTGACTAACTTTAAGCACAGTCCAACAGTTGTTAAAGTATTCAAGAGCATTGCCAATGGTATATTGTAAGGTAAGTGTACATATTAAAAACATAAATATTATTCTATTTATTTTAATGATTTACTTATCCAACTCTCTTTCACTTCAATACACAAATTATTGAAATGTCCCCCTGACTCTCTTTTTTAGCGTCTCAGGATTTTATTGTCATTGCCTCAATTTTGGCATTGCGACATATGCTATCTTTTTTCCCTTTCAAGATCTGGGTGGTCTTACAGGAAACAAGTTAGTCCATAAACATGCCCATTACTTATTTATTTGTTACAAATGACCCTGCTTATTTTTTCCCTTTATTTTTTTCTTGTCCTACTATATAATTGTATAAATCTCATATATGGTAACATAGTGAAAACTCTGAAGAGTTGGTAGCTAAAAAGTGGAAAAATTAAAAACATATTTGAAAAATAATTTTAAGACAGGGCTTAGTAAAGTTGGAGTTAAACTGGAAACAATCATGTGAACTCATAACCTTTAAAATCAGATCTTTGATACTCTGCCATGTTTTCTCATGTGGAACACTTCGATATTCACCTCCACTAAAATCTCAAGAGTAACCAATTCAGTGTCTCTCCATGATAGAAATAGCCCAGGAGATCAAGATGTGCCTGGCGTCTTGCTGCAGCTAGCGGACAAGGCTGCTGTCTCAGTTGCTGCGGAGAGCCAGGGAGAAAGGAGTCAGCTTACAGGGCTCATTGTGTTGTCTGAGCAACAGAAAAATCATTCTGTGAAGGTTATTATGAATTCCTAATGTTACTCAAAAGGGGAAAATTATGTGGTATAATAAAAACATACATGATTTTAAAATCGTATTTATAGAAAATTCTGTATATTGCTCAACTCAAACTATGTGTGTATTCACAGTAGTATGTTTAAATGTGCTTAAAATGGCAACCCTTATGTTTTATGTATTTTACTACAATAAAAAAGTTTAAGAAAAATTCAGAGACAGAAAGCAGATTAGTGGTTTCCAGGGGCTAGGAGGAGACAGGAGTGGGGGGTGACGGCTTGATGGCTGCAGAGTTTTCTTTTGGGGGTGATGAAAATGTGTTGAAACTAGGTAGAAGTGGTGGTTGCAGAACACCAGGAATGTACTAAATGCTACTGAACTGTACACATTAATGTGGTTAACTTTATGTTACATGATTTCACTTCAATTAAAAACGTGTTCATATCTGTGCTTAAATCCTAGTGTGTGGATACATGAGTATGTATAGTTTGTGAAACTTTTTCAAGCTACACACTTGCAATGGCTGCAGAGTTTTCTTTTGGGGGTGATGAAAATGTGTTGAAACTAGGTAGAAGTGGTGGTTTCAGAACACCAGGAATGTACTAAATGCTACTGAATTGTACACATTAATGTGGTTAACTTTACGTTACATGATTTCACTTCAATTAAAAACGTGTTCATATCTGTGCTTAAATCCTAGTGTGTGGACACATGAGTGTGTATAGTTTGTGAAACTTTTTCAAGCTACACACTTACAACGTGCACTTTTCTGTATTCTATGTATAAATGTTTTTATTTTCTATATTGTGCTTCAATAAAGTGTTTAGGAAAAAAAACAAACCCAACTATGTGTGTACTGAATGGAGTTTAGGCCAAATCAGACAGTAAAATATTAAGTAACAATCATGCAACCTGGGGAAGGGTGTTCATGTGGAAAATTCCATGAATAGCAGAAAAAAGCTATGAAAAAAAATATTTTAAAAGTTGTGTAAGAGATCTTTGTTCATAAGAAGAAAGGTCAGCATAAAATGTAACACCAAATTTTAGAGAGATATGGGTGTGAGATGTTTTATTACTATACGAAGGGGCCTAGTTCCATAAACTCCACAACACAGTTTAATCATCTTAAAACTCCCAGTATTTTATGTTACTGTCCTGGCCTGTTCCCCAAATTCCTAATTCAATTGAGTTCCTGAATTTCTAAAGGATAACCCTGAATCAATAATCTAAGTTGGCCTGAAAAGGACTTTTATTCACCTTGGTCAGGAAAATAACCTTGTTATTCAAGAAGGTACAAAATACATAGAGATAGAGATGGTGGTTTGAAAAAAAATTAAGTTTAAATTACCAGTAATTTTGGGAAGACATAGCAATGGATTTTTCAATACTTGTGCCTTTTTAAATTGTCTGCTTTATAAAATGTTTGAAAGAATAAATTGTTTTAAATTTGTGATTGTAATTTGAATAGGGTCTATTGGTGTTAAATATTTAGGGGAACTTCATCTGTTCAGTTTATTAGGTAATTTATAAAGAAAACAAATGTCTTGAGTGTCAAGGCTTAAAAAATAGCTGTTAACATGTATATTTTTTAAAAAATGAATTATTTAAAACATTAGCTACTAACTACCTTTTTGTACACAGATAACCCTTCTCGTACACATTAAATAGTAAGTTAGCAAGTGCTACTGAGACTGTACATGAACACGTCAAGTCACCTTTGAAGGGCAAGTAGCATTTAGTTGGAGCAGTAAGAAGTAGTCAAGGATATACAGCAAACAAGCTATAGGCACCCTGTTTATTTATGGTGAAATCATTGTGTTGGGGAAGTAGGTGCCCAAAGCCAGATGTTTCACAAAGACAAGGATTTTGTCTATTTTACACACTGTTGTAGCACCAGTGTTTTCTACTGTGCCTAGTCTTTAATTTGCATTCAAAAAATTTTTGTTGAATAAATAGAAGTGGGTTTCAGGGACCACTTGCTTCAGAACTATCCGTAGTCCCTTTTATTACAAATTCACAGGCACCTCCTGTGGAACTGGGTCCCCGGGGGTGTTGGAATCTGCTTTCTTCACACACACACTCCAAGCCCCTTCTTCACATACTACATAGTCCGAGAACCACTGAAGTTCAATCTCTTCACTTTGCCAGCGAGAAACTGAGGCTAAGTGGTTTGTTCAGGGTCACACGGCTAATGACGTGGCAAATAGTAGAGCCCGATCTGTCAGGCTCTGGAAAGTTCATTGGTTTGTTCACTTCCTCTAGCTTTCAGTATATAGAAAGCAGGGAAATAATCCAGCTTCTGGGTTTGGTTTTGTTTTTCCCTGATAGTTGACTTGGAGTCCATTTCTTACTGTCATGTCTGTACCACTCCTTCTCCAGCATTATTTCACACTGCATTACCTCGCTTTTTCAGAGTAGTCCCTAACATTGGATTTCTAATTAAAATTAATTTCTGAAATGCTTGTCAGTGTCTATGATCTTCTACTATTTTCTAAATGTTTAATGTTTTCACTTGAGTAGAGCTGTTAGAAAGAGTTTATTCCGCCTAAGACCTTCAGAGACTCTTTTCATCTATTTTTCTAAGAATGCTCTTCCTTGTCTCCTACCGTGGAAGCCATCCTCATAGGCGTTGTGTCTGCTTAGGGGACACCAGTCATATGCCTCCTTAATAGTAAAGTCTTCGCCTGTGCAACAACCTCCTTAAGAGCTTCATTCAAAGGCATGATGTCACAGGGCTCCTGTAAAGCTTACTTTGTTTCCCCAATTTCCTGGACGTTGAAAATGCCAAGCCTAGGTTAACTACTTGAACGAGTTGGGACTACTTGTCAGGGTTTGCGACCGACTAGATCTTTTTGTACAATTAATTTAACTTCGGGCAATGCCTAATGAGGAACGGAGCCTCCGTTTCCCGTGGTCATTCCTTCCTTCTCTTTTTACCTATTTGCCACTTTGCAAATGAGAAGATAATTAACCATCAATTGCGGGAGACAGAGCCCTAGGAGCTTGGCGGTGCGACGCAGCTTGTCGCCCACTTGTCTCTCCCAGGGACCGGGTGTCGGGGCCCGGGCCAGTGTTCCGTAGGGAGCCCCGAAGACCAGGCTAAGTACGAGGATGTCGTTCTCCAGAGCGGAATTCCTAGGGTCCCGCGTGCCGGACACGCCCTCATCCCCGGGGACTTCCCCGCGGTCCCCAGGCGCCGCCCCTCTGCCCGTCCCCGCCCCGCGCAGGCTTCGGCACGCGGACNTGCCCGCGGTCCTGCTGCTGGCGCTGGCGTTGTCCCCGCACGGGACTCAGGGGAGGCCCCGGGGGCGCAGGGGAGAGCGCGTGGCGGATGAGAAGCCGAAGCCGCTGCTCTTCCTCCCCGCGGCCTGGGCCGGCCCGGCTCCCGGCTCCTCCCGGAGCGCAGGTAAGTCCCCGTCCTGGCGCAGCCTTCGCCCCGCGCCCGGGTCTCCGCCGGTGACCGCTGGGACCAGATTCCCGGCCCTCGGGGAAAGAGGGAGCGAGTCTATTACATTTACCACGGCTGAACCTTCACTAGCCAAAGCCGGCCGCCGAAGGAGCCCCTTTGCATGCGCCGTCGCAGGCGTGGCAGGACTGTTTGGAAGTAAACTGGTGGAGCAGCCGAAAGACGTGGGGGGTCGGTCCCGCCGGCCGAGGGATGGTGGGCAGGTGAGGTGCCTATCCGTGTCTCACTTCTGGGCCTTCCGGGGTGAGAAGTATCTAGGATTGCTGCCTCCAGCCACCTGAACATGCTCCGGAGCACCCCTTTCCTACCCTTTCAAGCAGGTCACGGGGACCGGGGACGAACACGTGAGGTTCAGTAGGCTGCTGCGGCTTGCGGTGATTCGGCCCTTTCCTGGGGCAGTTTGCAAGGGCCCGGGACGCTGCTGGCCGCTCCCAAATCAACTCTGGACACTCAGGTTCTTGCTACTTAGATGCCTGGGGACGGAGGGCGCTGGGGAGAAGAGAGAAAAAGTAGCCATACAGGTGGTCATGCGACAGCCACAGACAGAGAATTCATGTGATGGGGAGGAAAAGAAAAGCCCAGGGAAGACGAGGTCAGAGGGCGCGGTGGGCTGTTTTGGGGCGGGGGGCGCTCAGAGGATGGAGGGAGCCTTGCAGCACGCGCAGGGCACGTAGGACGGGGGAGAGCAAGGAAGAGAGGTGCTATTCCAGAGCGTCTCTGTCTAGACCCTGCAAAAACAGAGCAAAGTGGAGTTACTGGCCGAGGCTTGGAGCAGAGAGGCTCTTCTTCAGGGCCACTTGGTGGCCTGCAGCTGGCTTGGAGGGAGGACACAGACCGGGGTGCTTCAGGATGCCTGGTGGCTTGCATCTGGCTGTTGCGCCATAGCGCCTGAGGGCCCTTCTGCTCAAGCTTTACTTTTAAGAACGCAGAGGGATTTCTTAGCATCATTTTTCTTTCATAATAGTTATGACATAAATAGATACTTATTCACTCCACAAACTTTCATCGTGTACCTGTCTGTTATGTGCCAGTCATCGTGCGAAGAGCTGAGGCCACCCAGGGGAGCAGGCAGCCAGGTGTCTGGGCTCTCCCAACACGTCCTGGTGTGCAGGGAGGAGGGAGGCTGGTGCCCAGGTCGGTGGAAGGAGCAAGATGTTCTGCAAGTGAGGAGCCAAGCAGAGGGAGGTTGTATTAGTCCGTTTCTATTGCTTATAACAAAATACCTGGAACTGGGTTCTCTGTTGAAAAAATAGAAGGCGAAACTTATTGCTTACAGTTTCAGAGGCTGGGAAATCTCAAGTCCAGGGAACACATCTGGTGAGGGTCTTCTTTGGTGGTGGCTCTACAGCAACGCAAGTGTCTCACGTGGCAGAAAATGGTGGGGCAGAGAGACTCTCATGTGCTTTCCTTTTAAAGCCCTCTACACACTTTGGATCAAAATTATTGTTAGCCCAAATATTTATTTCAGAGAGTGAATGTCACTTTGGAATGTAAAAGTGGGAGAAAGTCTCAAGTTACACATTTATGGTAACATTAATTTAGACCTTCTGTTTCATTTAAGTTTAACAGATCTTTTCTCTCTGGTTGAAAGACAGTGAGGACTTACTGAAGTGAGACACAAGGGATACAGCAGAACATTTTATTAAAAGTTAAAATAAAAGTTCGAACACTCCAAAGTTTAAAGAAAACCATAGCCTGATAGAAAGTGGCCTAGGGGTCACGCTCCAAATCTGCTGCTTTCTATGGCTGTTTGTGGTGGTCTCATCTTTTGATTGTTGTACTTTATTTACATGGAAAAAGGTGGTTAATTACATCTGTATTTGAGTCCGTGAATGGGACACTTGGGCATGGATCAGGGACAAACAAGTACATGACAATGGAGGGGACAAGGACCTATTCAGATGTCCTCATGGGACGTGCTTGGGGGTGGCAGGGTCATAATTCCTTCAGGAGGAAACATCTCACAGGTCCTGGAGGCCAAGGACTCTTATCACTGCCAGAAGTGTTTGGAGTTCTGCCTCCATAATTCTGCGACATAATAGGCACCCTTAGCAGGGCCTGACGTACAGGCTCTGAGCTCTGAGATTCTTGCTGCACATGCAATTGTGCATTTTCCTTTTCAGCAGGTTAGGCAGCTTCTCTAAATGCAGATGTGAGGCTGGAGGTGGGGGGATCATTCCCAGGCACAAGGAGCAGTACATAGAAAAGCCAGAGGCAAGGCAGCGGCAGCAAGGATGCCCCTAGGACTGTAGAGAGGGGCGGGGAGACACGTGAGTGTTAGGGTCTCTTTTTCCAGGAACACTTGTCATTCACCATCCTTGCCCCTCCTTCCTGCCCACAGCCCGTCTGTTCACGCATGCCTTCATCCTTTCATTTTAGCCATTAACACACATTCGAAGGTGCTCTGGTGGGTTTGGGAATATGAAGTTAACCAGCGTTGTTGACTGTTGTTGAGGAGCTCAGTTCTGTTGGTAAATTCTGCCTCGAATGCCTCCCCAATCTGGGTTGTCCTTTTTCTTGTCCTCTCCACCCTAGTTCAAGCCCTTAGGAGAGTGTTACAGTGATTTCTAGATTGTCTCCCTAACTCTGTGCGTGCCCCTGCCAGTCTGTCCTGCTGGGAAAAGAATGAGAAAGTGCATGTTTTCATAACCTTATTTCCTGCCCCCTTGTTCCTGTTCTCTCCTCCCATTGTCTCTGATCTTTGCACAGCAGAAAGGAGCAAACGAGGAATCCTGCCTCCCACTGTCAGGATGAGGGGGCATGGAAGGACCCCCCACTGACACGAAGACGGGATCAGAAGGCTGAGACGTGGCTGTAGTGGAGGTAGAGGACGGGAGTTTGAGACAGAAAGGAAACTGCTGTGAAATGTAGGGACATAGAACAGTACGGGGGACTGATGGGAGGTTAATGCATATTATATTCCCTTCACTATCTTTGCCTTTTCAAGAGATTTCAGCAGGTGTTTCCATTATTTCTTTAGACTCTGGAGTCTGATTTGTGGTGGTGGCGTTTGATGTAAAACCTTGCTGACATGGAACCTAAGGAGAGAATGTGAAGGTCATTTGGGTGAAGTTATTTTGAACAATTGCAAATGAACATTCTTAATAAGGAGTGTGAGGCTTGTCCCTCCCCAGTCACAGTGTTTTCTTTGAACATTTTATTATAATAATATTTATAATTTTTATATAGTCATTATTATCAGTTGAATGATTTCTTAATATTTGGCAGAGTAGATATACAATAACTTATTTGGCTATTCCACTACCATTTACATTATTTCCAATATTTTAAAAAATTTAGTTGTACGTATTTGTGGGGTACCTGTGTTGTGTCAATATGGTGCATATTCTGCACCATGACTCACTTAGGGTAGATAGCATAGTCTTGTACCCGTTAGTTCACCACTTCTCGTCCCCACACCGCCACTCCCATCCCAGCCTATGGTAACCATTGTTCTACTTTCTACTTCTATGAGAACCAATTTTCTTTTTTTTTGATACCACATGAGGGAGGTCATGCAGTATTTGTCTTACTTCATTTAACATTGGGAGTCTCCAGTTCCATCCGTGTTGCTGAAAATGACAGTCTTTTTTTTTTTTTTTTTATAGCTGAATAGCATTTCATTGTGCATATATGCCACAGTTTTTTTTACCTATCCATCTGCCGACAGGCGTTTAAGTTGATTGCATCTTATGGCTATTGTGAATAGTGCTGCAGTGAACATAGAAGTGCAGGTGTCTCTTCGAAATACTGATTTCATTTCCTTTGGGTATATATACCCAGTAGTGAGATTGCTGGGTCGCAAGGTAATTCTATTTTTAGTTTTCTGAGGATGCTCCATGCTGTTTTCCACAGTGGCTGTACCAATTTACATTCCCACCAACAATGTAGGAGAGTTCCCTTTTCTCCACATTCTCACCAGCATTTGTTATTTTCTGTCTTTTTGATAATACTTTATAGCCTACCAAAGTCACTATATAAAGTTGATATTTAGTAAGGATTTTTTTTGGGGGGACACTAAACTTTTGAAGAGAAACTGAAGTTTTTTTAATTTTTAAAATTTGTCTTTAAAGTAAAAGAATTTGAATTTTTATTTGCCCCAAAGCCAAACCTGACTTACCATCTTATTATTAATCTGTACCATTATGAGTCATAAGCTAATTTCTTACCATTTGGTAATGTTTAGACAATACAGCATTTACTGCCCACGGTATGTTCTAGAGTAATGGTTATTAAAATGGGGCTCCTGGGAGCCTCAGAACCAATTGGGAAGCAAATTCCAAATTTAATTCCTGGACTTAACCCTGGATATAATCGGTCCTGCGAGTGTAGTTTGTGAGTCTGAATTTCAACAAGCTCTTTGAGAATTCTCGTGTACATTCAATTTTTGGAAACATCAGCAGGTTTTTTGTTTGTTTGTTTTTTGTTTTTCCTCAATTGGGGAGGAGAAAGGTGGCATGTAAGATGTAAGAATCTTCTGGGAGGGCGGCCATGGCTCACTTGGGAGAGCGTGGTACTGACAACACCAAGTCAAGGGTTAAGATCCCCTTACCAGTCACCTTAAAAAAAAAAAATATCTTCTGGAAAGTTTCTTCCAGAGAGAGATAGCACCTGACCACCCTGCCCACACTGGCCATGCTTCTCGTTGAGTTGCTCACTGTCTGCTCTCTTCCATCTTCACATGCGCCCACAGCTCTACAGCAACACGTTCCAGCATGTTTTGAAAGATAATCTGTGAAAAATGGCTTCCTTGGTCTACCAGCTTCCAGAACATGATCATTAAGCCCCATTTTAGACAATCACTGTACAAGCACCATGAAGTCCTGCAGTAAAGGAAACTTTATGTAAACCAGTGTTATTAAACTCTTTTTTAAAAAAAATTTAGCATTTATTTGCATCTCATAGGACTAGGTTTTGAAGGAACCCACTTTGGAAAACAT